AAAACAACATAAATCTAACAAATTAATAAAATAATATACCACATTAGTTGTCAGACTCAAATTATATATTTTTATATATAATTAATTTTTTTATTTTGTTTTAGTGATTTTTTAATTTTATTTAAACAAACGTTTTTATGCTACAGGTATCAAATACATGTTTTTTTCTATATAACAAATCTATTTTCTATTGTGCATTATGCATTATTTAAATTTTTTTATTATTATTATTTTGTAAATAAAACAACATAAAATCTAACAAATTAATAAAATAATATACCACATTAGTTGTCAGACCCAATAAATTACATATTTTTATTTATAATTTATTTTTTATTTTATTTTAAATTATTTTCTTATTTAAACAAACTTTTTTTTATGCTACAGGTATCAAATACATTTTTTTTTTCTATATAACAAATCTATTTTCTATTGTGCATCATGCATTATTTTGAAACACACTTTTTATTATTATTTTGTAAACATAAAATAAACATAACAAAATCTAACAAATTATTAACATATCATATTAGTTGTCAGACTTAATAAATTATATTTTTATATATTATATATTTTTTATTCTTTTTTACTTTTATTCTTTGTTATTTTTTCCCCCTTTGCAACTGGTATCAGATACCTGGTATTTTTTTTTAATGTAACAGTTCTACAAATTTTGTATTGTGCATTATGCATGATTTTAAATATATATATTTTTAATATTTATTATATATATATATATATATATATATATATATATATATATATATATAACAAATCTATAATTTTAATAAAATAATTTCTCATATTAGTTGTCTGATTTAATATTGACTACTGATATTGACAAAAAAAATCCAGTTTGTGTTTCAATGATCGAGGAGTGGTGTCCTTCTAATTTTGACACTCATTTGTCTCGACAGGCTTTTAATACGTTTATCGATGACGTTTTTGCATTCATCATCACGATGCCCACGTCACATCGGCTAGCGTGTTTCAGAGACGACGTGGTGTTCCTCGTGTACCTCTATCAGAGATGGTGAGGAGCCACAGTCAAACACTGATCCAGAGCTGGTGTTTAAATTCGTATGGGTGTTTTATGAGCTGTTGATGTGGTTTCAGGCTCTATCCAGTGGACAAAGCCAGAGTGAACGAGTACGGCGTGTCTTACGATGAAAAGCCCAAAGGAAAATCCCATAAAGACTGACATGGTCACAGCAGAACAGCTCAGCATCATCTTAAGATCAGTTCATGGATTCAATAACAAAAGACCAAAGCACATTTGTCTATCTGGGCTCAGTTGTGCTCTGCTAGTCAGAGAAATGTAACCGGCTCGACTGAGACACGCGCGTGTGCAGCGTCCCGCAGTGCAAACGGTTGCTGTATCTCGTTGAATTATAGGATGAGAAGTCAAATATGAAAAGCTTGGTTTAATTTGACAATGTATTTTGATGGGACCTTTAATTCAGTCTCAGATAGTGTTTTGAAATTAAGACCATATCACAAGGGTGCCAAAAAGACCAGAGTTTCAGATGAATTATCAGATTTGCTTTGAATATGGATTCATTTTAGTAACGTGACTGTTGGTTGTGTGTTCAGCGAGAATGGTGTACGTTTGTTTTTGTGTTTCATTCCATTAAAAGTGTTTCTGCTTAATCGCAGAGGCTTCATTAAACAGTTTATGCCTTCTGCTTGCCTTCGTTTTATTTATGTAGCTTTTATGCTTTTCAATCGTTGATTTTTGACAGCATTAAATGAACAACTGTCGCCTACTAAACAATCAGTGGTATTTATATAAAACAAGTTTATTAATGAAAGATACATGTGCATCAAACAAACAAACAAACAAAAAAGTAATGTGGTATTACCATGTTTTTTTTTTTAATGGTATACTTTGAAGTACCATCTAAATATGGTGATACAAAATATAGTAATTTTATTGTACCGTAGTATTAACATCTAATGAAATCGCTGAAGCTGACAGGTTTTTGAAGTATTAAAAACTAATTTTTCTTGAATTCATTCATTTATAACTTTTCTGTTGTATATGAAATACAACATATATTTAATATTTTATTTTATTGTTTTAATATTTTTTTTAAACAACTTGATTTTGTGTTTCACTTTTTTATGCATCTAAACCTGTTTTTATACAGTTTGTGATCTAAACGCACTCTCATAAACGCGCAGATACATATATATATATATATATATATATATATATAAAAGATAACTGACAGATCATATGAGCCAATCACAGCTTCAGGGCTCTACTCTGGTCCCGCCCACTGAAGTGACGCACAAGACTATATAAGTCATGGCTCCGCCCCTTTTCGGCCCTTTCCGCTCACTGGCATCGCTGTGTTTGAGGTGCTCGGTTCTTCTCACGAAGCTAAGGCCTTTGAATCCGGCGACTAGCACCATCAAATTTAGGCATCCACGTCTAAAACAGTAACCTGCCGAAGGAACAATGGCATCTGTGTCCGAGCTGGCCTGTATTTACTCCGCGCTCATCCTCCACGACGATGAAGTCACGGTTACGGTGAGCGTGAGGGGTTTGTGCCGCGGAACGAACATCCGGGACACTTGTCGGTTTATACGACACTAATGTGATTCTGAGCGATTTACGTTTCTTTTTAAGTTGGGTTTGTTGCTTCGTGTGTTACTAGAATATAAATCTGATGTTTATGTGTGAACGCAAACTTTTGAAGTCGTTGTGGAAAACTACTGCTACATTCGTACAGAGACTCGCTAGCGTTTCAATGTTTACCACTGTATTTTACTCTCTTATTCAGGGTAGAATGTGATTGTAACCATGCAGTAAAAAGTATTACCACCTGGTAACATCCCTGTACCATGGTAATGTCACAGTACTGACACTACTGTAGTTATGATGCCCATCTGTTGACCATTGTATGGTTACAGTTTTTACATACCATGGTATTCTTCCAGGAGTAACATCATATGGTACCACCATGTGTATTTTTTTTGACAGTACTGTGGTATTAGCATCTAATGAATAATGACTGTATAATTGTACATTGTTAACAAAGCATCCATGCACTGATGTTAACTGTCTCTGGTTGTGTTTTGCAGGACGACAAGCTGAACGCTCTGATCAAGGCCGCCGGTGTGACCATCGAGCCCTTCTGGCCCGGTCTCTTCGCCAAGGTGTTTATTTCCACCTGACGCATCCATGAGGGCGATGGAAATGCCTGCATGTCATTTATCGTCGTTGATGGGCTGCTGGTTCGTGTTGGCTTAGTTAACCAAAGTATCCACATTCAAAGCATTTTTAGTTTCTCATTTTTCCTGAAACCTAATATAATGCTAATATGATTAACTTCTGTTTTAATATAAAATGAAGGCTTATTTTTTGGGTAACACTTTACAATAAGGTTTCATTTGTTAACATTTCATAACCTTAGATAATATGAACTAATAAAAATACTCAAGCATTTATTAATGTTGACCGACATTTACTAATACACTACTCAATAGTTGAATGTTAGTATTTAATGGATCTGGAGAAAAACTAAATGTTGACATTAATATATATATATAATACATCAGAATGAAAAAAAAAAATTCTGATTCTAAATTTTCCCCAAAATCATGCAACCCTAGATTACAATGCAATATATTGGAGCTGGAATAAATGTGATATCATTAAATAACTATTCATTATACAATACTATTATTATAATTATTATTATTAATATGAATTAGTGTGCAGATGAAATGCTAAACATTTCAAACTGTAGTGTGCTATGCTAAATAAAGTTTATTTTTACCATATTGCTATTTATGTTTTATTTTATATTTCATTTTTAGGTTTAGTTCAGTTTCAGTAATTATTTATTTCCAGTTATTAATTTTAATTCTAAAAGTTTAGTTGTAATTTTCATTTACTTAAATTTTTTCAGTGTGTACATTAATGAGGAAAAAAAATTAACAAATGATTTTAGCAAACGGCTGCAATATAACAAAGAGTGAAAAATTTAAGGGGGTCTGAATACTTTCCGTACCCACTGTAGATTTTAATGTGGAAAATTAGAATGGAAAAACACTATTTTTGAAAAAGATGAATTCACCAAAAAAAGAAAAGAAAAAAAAGACTAGTCCCTGGTAGCTGAAGAGGAGAGTTGAGCAGGTCTGACCTCTCTGTGAGTGCTGGCTGGTAACACTGGGATGGTCTCGTCCACCGTCGCCAGTAAAGTCCTGAGCGCCAGTCCAACATCCTGAGAGGAGACACCAGAGACACCCATCAAACACACGTCACACAGAGACCGCCGTCATGAGACTATCCCAGCATGCCCTGCTCCTGACCTTCACCATGGGGACGTACTCCTCGGGCGGCGCGGGCTGGATGCGGCTGGACATCTCGATCACGGCCTTCACCAGCCCCGTCACGTTCTCGTACACCTTATCACTGGAGCGGTCCAGGTTTGCTGTGGGAGGAGGACTGATCTCCTGAGGCTGGATCTGAGAATGAAACACAGGTCTGGATCAGCAGCTCCACAGAGAAAAATGCTTCCCACACTTTTACAATGAAAGATTATCCTCATGCTTATCAATACTGGACATGGATTTTATTTAGAAATAGAACAGATTTGAATTATTAGGTTTAAATGATTATACCGAAAGTTCAAAGAAGATTTAGCACTTGCTGAAATATATATTTCCATATATTTCCATTTCATTATTATTTTATTTTTTTACCTACTCATTTTCATGATTTTTCCAGACTTATAAATCACAAATATAGAATTTGCCAGGTTAATTAGAATGTTGAATATTTGTTTGAAGAAAAATGATAAAAGATAAAGATAAAAATTACAAATTGATAAAACAATCAGAATAAAACAGATTTTTGTAAATCTATAATCATTCACAGTTCTCTGATGTTTATTGATGGTCAGATGACATGCAAGTAAACAAATACATTATTTCATAATTTTTTGTAATTTTAAATTTTTTTATTAATTTGTTAAATTATTAATTTGTTTCAATTAACATTTTTTATGATTTAAAGTAATATAATTATGTGATTTATAAAGGAAATCATCAGAATAAATGTAGGATTTTATAAAGACATTATAATTGATAAATCTAAAATCATTTACGGTTCATATTATACTATTATAAATTATTTATAATTGAAACAATCAGGATAAAATTGGAATTTTATGAAGGTGGTCAATATTTTAATTGATAAATCTATAATCATTCATGGTTCTCTGATGTTGATTAATGATCACATGATGATATGCAGGTAAACAAATAAAACATTTCATATTTTTTAGTTAATATTTTATTTTGATTGATTTTATTTTAAAATTATTTGTTTTAATTACCAATTTTATGAATGAATTAATTATAAATAATATAATTATAAGTGATTTATGAAAAAAAACAATCAGAATAAAAATTAAATTGTACAAAGACAGTCATTATTATAATTGATAAATCTATAATCATAGATTCTCTGATGTTGCATAATGGTCACCTGACATGCAGGTCAACAAATACAATATTTCATACTTTTTAAATGAATATTTAATTTTTATCTTTATTTATTTTATTTTTTTTACAATAATTTATTTGTCTAATTAACATTTTATTTTGTAAATAAGTAATTTATAAATAAAACAGATAATAATAAATAATAATAATATAAAATTATTAAAATCAGAATACATTTTTTTTTAAAAGACTGTCATTATTATAATTGAAAAATCTATTGTCATGTACTATGTGTACAATTAAAAATAGATTTTTCAACAGAAATGATTCCCATGATTCATATGTACAGAAAAAAACATCCATTGTTGACTTTAAACAGATGAGTGTGAGAAGAGTGGCCACTAGTGGCCATACAGTGAATAACACACACACACACACACATACATACACACATACACACACACACACACACACACACACACACACACACACACACACACACAGGTCTTACCCTCCAGGGCTACGTGCAACAGTGCAGCATAAAGCAGGTGAGCGTGTGTGGAGGGAAAGCGGGATGCAGGAAAACAGAACAAATGATTATTAATGCAAACAAGCAAACAAAGCAAACCTAATAAAGTCATGCAGCTTCAGGTCACGTCTGAGGTGTGATGGGAAACAGATCGTGTGATTATAAGACATCGTTCAGCTACAGACGTTTCAAGTGTCCACTGACATCCAAAAGAAACATGATCAGTTAGTTCAGCTTCTCTGAGAACTTTTAATACGCTTACAGTTTCAGAGCATTAGGATTCGCACGAGAATCTGCCATAATAATGACTCGAAGGAAAAAATACAAGCAGAAAAACATTTACCTCTTACATAATAGCTACGAAAAAACACACAAATGCATATTCTCTCCCAAAAAAGTGGAAAACAGAATAGTTTCTATTAATATTTTAAATGAGTTTAAAAATATATATATTTTAATTTTAGTTAGTGTCATTTTTTAGTTAAGTATTTTTTATTAGTATATATATATATATTTTTTATTAGATATATATATATATATATTTTTTTATTTATTTTATTTATATCAGTATACTAAAATAAAAGAGAATTTATATATATATATGAATTCTGTTTTATTTTAGTTGTTTTAATACATCAACTAAATGAAAATGAGAAATTGTGCTTTTATTTTATTAAAGTTTTATTGTATTTTATTTGAGTAATAAAACTTTTTTTTTATTAATTTTGTTATGGTTTTAGTTGTAATTTTATAAACTTTACTTTATTGCCAAGTATGTGTTTACACACACAAGGAATTTGTCTTGCTGACAGGAGCTTCTAGAAAGTACAGCCATAGTGCAGACATACATAGGAATTACACAGCAGAGATGAAATATTAAATTAACTTAAATTAGTTAACTATAATAACCCAGAGTGGAACTTTACATGGTCGAAAGTCTGAGAAATCAACTAGGAATATTTCAAATCTGACTCCCATCAGATGATTTTTAGAGTGTTTAACAAGCGTTTGCAGACAGGTGTGTGAAACGCAGAAAACAAAAAACTAACTCTTCAGTTTCCCTTCCGAGAAAAGACTGCCATCTTTAATCCAGCTGAATGTTCAAAGGCTTCTCACGAGAATCGACTGGAAGGTTAAAACAACAGGAAATATGAAAAAAATAGATCCAGGCAAAACGGACCTCTTATATAAGAGCCATGAAAAAAAAATAAACACGGCTCCCAAAAAATTCTTGGCATAGTTAAGTAGTTAAGTGTGTGTGTGTGTGTGTGTGTGTGTGTGTGAGTGTGTCTGTGTGTGTGTGAGTGAGTGTG